GTTATAGAATAAGATGAACATGTTACATACACAATAAGGTGAACATGTTACGTAATAAAATGAACATAGTATAGAATAAGATGAACATGTTACATGATAAAATGAAATGTTTTACATACACAATAAAGTGAACATGTTATAAAATAAGATGAATATGTATTATTTCAATCTGCCATCTGTAACATGTTCATCATATTTGAAAACACATTCATTTTATTATGTAACATGTTCATTATATGTCAGTATAATAAAATAATTACGAAAAATTATGAAAAATAATGAAAAAACAAAAAATTAGTTGGGTTCAAAAACCTATCAAATGTGGTCTCTATTTATAGATAATGAAAAATTATGAATTTTGGTATTTTTATTTTATTTTTTTAATATAAATAATTAATGATATTTTAATTTATGTAATATGTCCCATTTTCCAATTAAGAAAAGAAAAAATAGAAATGTGTACTACACTCTCAAAATTTCTTGTTTTTGGGGTGAGTGAAGCGCGTGCAAATCTACCCTGACACACCTAGCTAGGTGTGCCAGGGCACACGGTAGTGCAACTGAATCCCACATGCAATTAATTAATGGGCCCAAAATAAAATGGTTTTGATAAATCACTTCATTGGACTAATTTGTCTAACTTAGAGAGACCCTTTTCGTGTTTATTTATGTCAACAAACTCACAATGGGCCAAAGCAGAAAAAAAAAATAAAAAAATAAATAAATAAAATAAAAATAAAAAAAAAATAAAATTTATATATATATATATATGATAGCGATTTTGATGTCGACTAAGACACACGTACGTACACATGTTGAAATGGAACTTATAAAAACAAAATTGGTGGATTAATATTTTTTTTTTTTTGTACAGGGACCTTCCGGTTTTACGGATCCACAGGGGAACCGACTAATCCAGAATCGAGCCGGGTAGGATCACAAGGACGGCAAAACTCTCTCTCAAGAGTTTTTAACACTGCTGCATTCACAGGACTCGAATACGAGACCACTAGTTAAATTAGAAGAGATTCAAATCATCTCATACAAACGCTCTTAGGTGGGTGGTGGATTAATATTCTAACACATGATCTATATTACATTGTGATTTTAGTATGTTATAAAGTGTTGGTCACTTAATATTGGTCCTACATATTGAGGAATAATCAAAACAGTTTAAGAGCTTGGGGACCCATAATTAATTAAGGCTTCTTCTTTCTACTTCTCGTTAATTCATCTTTCATATTTTGCCAATGTAATGAATTTGATACGAGTATACGACATAAAGTTAATTACAATACTTAATAGGATAATAGAAAAAAAAAAAAA